TGGATGGATGGATGGATGGGTGGATGGGTGGATGGATGGGTGAACGAGTGAATGGATGGATGAATGTGTGGATGGATGGATGGATGGGTGGATGGATGGATGGATGGGTGGATGGGTGGACAGGTGGATGGATGGATGGATGGATGGATGGATGGATGGATGGATGGATGGATGGGTGGATGGTTGGACGGGTGGATGGATGGATGGACGGATGGATGGACGGGTGGACGGACGGGTGGACGGGTGGATGGGTAGGTGGATGGATGGATGGGTGGATGGCTGGATGGGTGGATGGGTGAATGGGTGGATGGGTAGATGGTGGATGAATGGATGGATGGATGGATGGATGGATGGATGGATGGATGGATGGACGGATGGACGGGTGGACGGGTGGATGGGTGGATGGGTGGAAGGGTGGATGGGTGGATGGCTGGATGGGTGGATGGGTGAATGGGTGGATGGGTAGACGGTGGATGAATGGATGGATGGATGGACGGATGGACGGGTGGACGGGTGGATGGATGGATGGATGGACGGGTGGATGGATGGAAAGAAGGATGGATGAATGAGTAGATGGATGGATGGATGGAGGCAGGGATGGATGGATGGATGGACGGACAGATGGACAGGTGGATGGATTCAATACAGAGGAGGAGACCATTGGCCAGGCAGCCAGCAATACTCACTCTATGACCTTCTTCCTCCACCGCTTGTTGTCACTGGGGTGGTGACGATAGGTGCCATAGTCAAAGAGCGAGTCCATGGGTGCCTTCTTGGGCCCGGGCACCACCGAGGACTCATACAGGGTGGACTCTAGCAGGTCAATGGGGTTGGGCACCCCCTTGCGGAAGGCGCCCTGGAACTTCATGCGCAGGTTCGGTCGCCCATCGCCTGGGCCAGCAGGGCGACCCGCATCATTCGGTGTGGGCGAGGGGGAGCCGTCTTCCCCCTCAAACAGGTTGGCCAGCGAAGAGAGGGGGAAGGCCTCTCCACCAGGGAGGCCACTCTCATCGCTGGGAGGCTCCGCCACCTCCCCGGGCCCTGTGCAGGGGCCATCGCTGGGTTCCGCCATGCTGACCCCGGACCCGTCTGCACTGCTGGGCCTACGAGGGAACGGGAGGGGAGTCAGGCGGAGTCCAGCTGGTGGTGGGGGCTCCAGGAAGCCCCCTCCCACGTAGACAAACAGCACCGCTGCCAGCCGCTTCAAAGCCACCGTTGTAATGACAGGGGTGGGGGGGGCCACTCCCAGATGTGGTTGGCTGCCAGCCCCAGGCAGGAGCTACAACAGGAGCCTCTTTCAGGGACCTGGACAGGCAAGTCGGCCTCGGGTCCAGCTACCCGGGGCGTCAGCTGGAGGAGGACGGGCCTCAGAGGCACACTGGGGCTTACGCCCGACCAACCCAACCAGCTTCAGAGCCCCACAGAGCAGCGTTCAAATCCAGGCTCCACACGTAGCAACTGCGTGACGCTGGGCGAGTCAACGCCTCACAGCCTCAGTTTTCTCACCTGTGAAATGGGGATGTCGAGGCGGAGAGCGTGCACTCCAGAGGTCAGCGCAGTGCCTGACATACAGGAAGCACCCGCTAAAACATAACCAATGGATGCATGCTGCAGGCACAGGAGGTGCTCAGAAAGTACGCGTCAGCCAGTAGCCCGCACCGTCACGATCCCCATTTTACAGAACAGGAAACCAAGGTTCCAAGACTGCAGCTGACCTCCCCCCAGTGCCGAAGGCTGATCCCTTCCCTCCCCTCTTTGCTCGGTTAACTCCCACCCCTGTGTTCCCGGCTCAATCGTCCCTTCCTCTGGGAAGCCCCCCTAACCATGTGTCCACGGATTAGTTAATCCCCGGGCTGTGAGCACCGGGAGGCAGGGAACGCAGCTGTCTTGTTCACTCCTGCGTCCCCAGCACCTAGAAGGGCGCCACACGGACAAACGACCTCGTGACAAAGGTGTTCTCTGTTCCCATCTCTCAGATGAGGAAACAGGGGCTATGAGAGGGGCAGTCACACAGCTTGCAGGGAGAAGAGCTGAACTGGAGCCCAGGTCTCTCAGGCTCTGGGCCCAGACTCTGACTCTCTGTAGCTGGAGCAAGGGTGCGGAGGGGCGAGGCCGCGCTGGCCGGCTGTCACCCTCTGCCCTCTGCAGCGCAGTGCTGGCCGGGCGGAGCTGGGCACCGAGGGCCAGTTTCCTGGATCTCCCGCCATCCCGCCCTGGCTGCAGGGAGATGTCTGAAAAGCTCTCTTTTCTGTGTCTCCCCGTCCCTGCCCGACACATTAGCAGAGGAACAAATAAAGACCGGTCCCACCTTGTTTGTTCTGGGGCTGCCAGGAGGGAAGGCTTGGACCAGAGAGGTTGAGCGCACGGCAAGAGGCCTCTCTTGGCGGGCACAGCGGGGCACACAGATGTCAGAGTTCCCACCGGGGACTGGCCCCTTCTGTATACCGTGGGGAGGGCGAGCCTGGACTTTAGAGTCACTCAGGCGTGGCTTCTAACCCCAGCCCTGCTATTTACATGCAATGTGACCTTGGGAAAGTCACTTTAGCCACCTGAGCCTCAGTTTCCTCGTCTGTAAAATGGGCACAATTGTAGTAGCTTTTTCACAGGTTTGCAGGAAGAATGAAACAAGACCAGGCATGTCCAGTGCCGACCCCGGGATTTAATGGGGGGCTGTTGATGATTATAGTCAAAGGGGGAAGAACAGGCTAGGAGCATGGTTCTAGCTTGGCCCTGGTTAGTTAGCAGCTGTGTAATCTTGGGCCAGTCACTTCCTCTCTCTGGGCCGCAGTTTCCCCACGCCCCCTCCTTGAGTTCCTGGGAGATGTCAGTGGCCTCGGGAATTTGAAGTGCCCACTCAGTGCCAGCACCCAGTAGGACCTCAGGAGACATTAGTTCCCATCCAGCTGCCAGGTGGGAGAGGGAGACCTGGACCCTCAGCCCCTGGAGGTGGCCACGTGAGTGTGGGCCTTGTTCTGCAGGGACAGGGGGCATGTTGAGGCAGGAGGGGCGTCCACTAGGGTGCAGGCATTGAGGGGGAAGATCAGGCTTTCCCGGGCACACTGGGGACCCCAGCGTCAGACGGAGACGAGGTGTTGGGCAGATGCCTCTGCTATCAGCACCCTCCTAATTAATGTGCCCCTTCCCAAGGCACCCCTCACCCCGCTGGAGTGGGGCCTAGTGGACACCCCCCTCAGGGAGCTCCCAAGGCCAGAGGAAGCAGCCACGAGGGCCCCTCCAACCCTCTGCCATGCCTGCACCCCTCCAAGGAACCTCAACCCGACGGCATCCTGGGTTTCAGGGGCTCCACAACAGGGGCTCTAAAGTCATCACCCCAGCTTCAGGTCTCCTCTCAGCCACTCACTCACTGCTGTTAGCCTCGGGCGAGGCACACAGCGATCACGATTAGCAATTTAATCATGATGAAATGATAATTACGAAATAACCCCATCACCATCGTCATCCTGTCGCCTCACTCTGCCAGGCACCAGCCTCAGAGCCTCGCACATGTACCCTCCCCAGGTCCTCACTGCAGCCCCAGGCCGGAGGTTCCCAGCTGGCGGCCATTCTGCTCCCCAGGGACACTTGGCCATGTCTGGGGACATGTTTGGTTGTCACACTGTGCAGAAGAAAGAGGGCTACTGGCCTCTAGTGGGTCAAGGCCAGGGAGGCTGCTAAACATCCTACAGTGCGCAGGGCAGTCCCCACCACAAGGAACCAGCCCAAACGTCCATAGTGCTGAGGTTGAGAGACTCTGCCCTGGAGGTAGGTACTGTGATCATTCCCACTTTACAGATGAGGAAACTGAGGCCCCGAGAGGTTAAGTGAGTTGCCTGAGGCCACACAGCAGGTTAGCGACAGAGCCAGGATTCAAATTCAGGCAGTTGGCTGTAGAGCCTGGATCACCCTAACCCCTCGGTTGACTGGGCCTGGCCTGAGTGCCACACAGAGCCCTGACAATATCTTGTTCAAGCAGCATGATGGCCCTGGGAGGTGAGGATTATTACTAAACTACCAGCCCATGCTCATCATTCTAAGGCTCAGTTTCCCTCCTGGATAAGGAGGGTTGCAATAACAGCAGGGCTGTTCCTGTAGGGCCGCATGACACAAGGCAGGTCAAGTGTCTCTCGGGCACCTAATCAGCACTGGATAAATGCTGTCATCGTCCTCATCACCATCATGGTACAGACTCCTTCCCTGCCCTCCTCACCCCTCCCATGCACACCCGTGTCGCAGTCCTCCAGCCTGGCAGTCACGGCCCGGGTTCAGATTCCCCCACCCCTCCCAGCCTCTCCCTCGGTTAACCCCCCAGAGCCAGGCGAGCAAAGCTGGGCTCCTGCTCCCATTCTACAGCTGAGGAAACTGAGGCTGCGACAGGCCACTCAGGGAGCGAATGGCCATGAAGAAGGCCTCTGGATCCTAACCCTGGACTCCTTCACACCACGCCACCCAAGCATGCGTGCACACCAGTGGGCGTGTACACACACACACGTATACACACACACACTCACACTCACAGCCTGCTCTGCTGCTCTGTGGCAATTCTCTCCCCAAACGCTGCCCTGTTCTCTGTGGTCGGGGCCAGAGTTCCCTCCCAGTTCTAATTTGCCCTGTAGGCTGTTATTACACATTCCAAACCCCTGCCAGGCGTGGGAGGGAAGGAGGAGTGCAGGCAGAGAGAGGCTGAGGCCCCGTGCGTCTCCTCTGCGTGTGAATGTCATGTGTGCTCATTTGCGTCCTTCCCCGTGTGCATGCACGTGTGTGTGCCCGCTGCGAGCAGGCCATCCCGGGCCCTTCACCTCACACTGCGAATGCCTTTGCAGCAGGCAGCACCCAGCAGGCACCAGGCTCGCCTTAGGGGCCCCACCCAGGACGTCTGTGCGTGCCTGTGAACATCCCCACACTCTGTGTCCCCATGGAGTTCATTGAAAGCAGCGGTTCTCAAACGTTTTGTTTTAAGCATCCAAACCCTTTTTTGGAGTATCTATATCAGATTATAGTCTGCGCACAGAGGGTAGTTGTGACAGGATGGACGGAGAGGGGATCTGAATCTCAGGGCCCAAGGGGCAGGATTAGAAACCATTCACCTATTCATTTATTCAACAAGTATTTATTGAGCACCTACTGTGTGCCAGGCACTGGGGATACGGAGGTGAGCAAGACAGAAAAATCCCTGAAACAGAGTAAACTGCTAGACAAAGCAAGAAGCAGAGTCGTGTCTGGTGGTGTGAAGAGCTGTGTAGACCAGAAGGACTCGGGAGTGGCTGAGTTAAGGGGTGCGGGCGTCCCGAGCAGGGTGAGGAGATACAGGGCTGAGCCAGGGTCCCCGAGCCTTCCTCTCTGCCTGAAGGTCATCACTGTGACATTAGACAGATCAGGGGGTCGGCTCCCAGACCCACCACTCATTGGCTGGGTGACCTTGAGCAAGGTACTTAGCCTCTCTGGGCCTCCTTCCCTCACCTGTCCCCGTGGGGATCTTAACTGGGTCATTGTGAGAAAGGAGTTGCGTCAGGCACCTGGCAGAGAGGAAGCCCTCAATGAACGGCAAATTGCATGACTAAGTGAAGGACAGGTGCCTTCTCTCCGAGAACCCCAGATCCAACAAGGGCGGAGGTCTCCTGCTCCCTCGCCCTGCCCCCACGCAGGGGGAGGAGGAAGGGGCCCAGCCTCACCGCAATCCCGTTAACCCCGGGCTTTGCCTGAGCTCGTGGAAACCCTGGCACATATTTGCCAAATCCCATCCTCCTGATTAAGTGACCCAGGAAAGCCGCTTAATCTGGGGGCAAGTTTGGGCGTGCAGGGTGCTCCACGCCACGGAGAAGGATTCCAGGAAGCTGGTTCCTAGCAGTTCCCTCCCTCCCTCCCTTGATTCACTCCAACAGGCATCTGTTGAGTGCCACATGTTTGCAGGGCACCCGGGGAAGCATGAAAGAGTGGAACCTCAGGGAGCTCACAGTCTAGGAGGGAAGACAGATGGCGTTTCCCTCCTCCAGGCCTTTGCCCGGGCTGTCTCCTCTGCCTGGAACTCCTCCTTCACCGGCTGGCTCCCAGTCTTCAGGTCTCGTCTTAACCACCACTTCTGAAAAGCCATCCTAGCTCCGCAGTC